ACTGATATTATTCTTTTAATACTTAAACTGTAGCCTATCAGCTACAGTTTAAGTATAAAAATAAATAACGGTAGCCGAAATTTTATGGAATAAAAGAGAAAGCATATATATATATATATATGGATCAATATGTATATGGGTACTACTGACAAAGCTGAAGGGGCTTAGTCATCTCATAGCCCTCTAACAAAATGTAACATATTTATTTAAATGTTAATCACGGCAACTAAAATCACAGCATGCGCTTTTTTCATGGAAACTTACTTTTCAAAATAGAGAAAATGGCGTTCAATTGTACAGTACTGTATACATAGCATATTAATAATTGTTTAATTTTCCACTCACGGATGAGTGGGCAACTAAACAACAATACTAGTACCGCCAATTTTCGCATTTATAATTTAGATATTACCAGTAATTTACCGGTCCACCGGTAAATTACTGGTAATATCTAAAATTTTCTTTTTTTAATATCTAATATTTAGTAATATCTAAAAAAAGTGACCCTCAAGATTTTTACATTTTTGGATTCAGGGAACCTTGAAACTTCAAGAAATTCAAAAAACTTTGGCTTTTTTTTCTGTATGTATGTTTGTTAGTGTGTGTGGGTGACCGGATGGCCGAGCAGTCAAGGTGGAAGCCTACCGCTCAGTGGTTATATCTCTAGGACGGTCGGACCTAATGACGATTTTACTCATTATTAGCATTTATAATTTTTTTTTATAAAACCCATCACTATCCGTTGTTAACGAGTGATGGATTTTATAAATCACTCGTTGCTGGATTAAAAAATCCAGCAACGAGTTGCTTAACTTATTGTTGGTTTTATAATATTTATACACATGGTTTAAATAAAATCTACAAAATTTATATATCATTGTATAGGCTAAATAAATTACTGTTTTCCAGCAGATAAGGCTTACTCGCATATCTTTCAGGTTCTACTTGCTAATTAAAATCTCTTACTTTCTACTTTTTAAAGCCATGTTTTCATCGATTTAATTAATTATTTATGACAAAGTTTTAACAGAATTCAGTTTTCAAGCCTACGCAAATTCACTAAAAACAAATAGCCTATAAAATGAATTTAAAATTAATGAAAATTTGGGTATTTCGTTTTCTTAAATTAAAAAAAAAACAAAAAAAACTGCTATTATTTTGATTTTATATAAAAAATCCAAATAAAGCGTTTTGGGCATTGGAATCTATAAGTTATTAAGATTAATTAGCATTTTGATGGACTTAAAACAAATTAACTTGACATAAAACTAAAACTAGTATAATTATGTATTGAGGAAGTTAAACGTCATGAATCATCCGATTATTTATTTAGATTATTTTTGGAAAGATATTTTTGCACAAAATGTCAGTTAAATTTGTAATGTGTCTCTTACCGTAATTACAAATATATTTAAACATTTTGATAATAAGTTGCGATTTATTTTATCTAACAAGAAAATCGGAATGGATTAAATTAAATCGATAGAATAAGATGACCTAACTCATGGACGATGTACCTTCAGTAAGGACTTCTATAGAAAACTAGCCAGTATTTAGACATGTGAAGAAAACCCAGGAAACTTCACGTGACTAGCCCGTTGGTCAGCAGCAAATTCAAGATTAAATATCGGTGTTTAATGGTGTTAAATGTTTAAAATTCAAACTGTCGGAAATATTTGGCAATACTTGATAAAATATAGTATTTAGGGAATTAAATTAGAATCCAAAAAAAAAAAAAGCACCAAATTTGCTTCCTAAAAGAAATCTATTCTAGAAATTTTGTCTGTCCAAAAATAATACGAAGAGTTCTTAGAAAATAATTATCACGAATGGCGTTAAAAGCCTAGCTTAAACCAACAAAAGTAATTAAGATTAAAAGATTACATTTTCTCAATTTTGTATTTTTAGAATTTTTAGAATCACAAAGAAGAATAAAGATTACAAAAATAACATCGGAAATGTTACTTTTGTAAACGAAACTGTAATTTTTATTCTTCTTTGTGATTAAAAAGATATTGGATTAGTTTCTTGTATCGTCACATGTGCCTTGGAGATATTAGAAATCTTGAAAGAAAGATTTCAGTATTATTTTCAGAGTGTTTATAGTAAAACATGCAATTGCAAAGGAAGACTGTTTTAAAAGAAATGTAGAAGCCACTTATACTCTATATTCAGTAACTTAAAGTAAAATATTTCGAAACTATTTATCCGTGCAACATCTATTAAAGCATTAAAAAGTCCTAAAAGATTGCCATCAATTTCATTTTGAGTTAAATGAATAATTACTGATAATAATTAAAAAATATATGTTATACAGTTCAACATTTAATTCCTAGATTTCAATTATTTTCATGCAATAGAAAACAACACTAAATAAAATTTTAATACATATCATTTTTTCCCACATTTTCAATTATAAATTTGTCTGTTATTATAAAACTGTACTTTTCTATATAAAGTTATTCCTTTACATTTTGTGTTCGATGTAGAAACGAAAACGGATACAGTACTAAACACGTGAATGAATTGCAGATAAAAGGAACATAATGCATCATTTATGTTTCATCCTTCCAATACAAATCGTGAACTGCTTGTTAAAGAAATTATCGGCTTGATAAATAGCATTTTAATTTTGCAGTTAGTCGATCTTCGTTGCATTTACAAAACTGCCGAGAATCTTATCAAATTCATTTACAAATAAAATAAAAAATAATGATAACATAAAGTACTATATCAAGAATGTAAACGAATAAAATCAACGAAATAAAAATCTATAGAATTTTTTTTTCAATTTATAAAATGAATGTTAACGCATGCGCATATAAAAATCCTAAAATTGTTTGCCCATATTCATAGTCGCCCGCAGACTATATTTTACCAAAAAAGTTGCTCCTAATGGATAAAAGTTTGGCCACACCTGCCCTACTGAGTAAGTTTCATTTACACAGTTGGCTGCCTCGAGTTTTATAATTAGTCTGTCAAATATTGAAGCATGATTTTTAGAAGCATGATTTTGGAAGTCTTTTTATTGGAGATTTGTGTAAAATTATAATCTATATATATATAAATGAATGTATGTCTGTATGTCTGTCCTTCATGCATTACCACACCGTTTATCCGATTGCCGTGAAACTTTGGGAAGTTGTTTAATTAATATACACCCGCGAAGGTTTCTGGCATAGTACATTTATCCTACGATAGATGGTGCGAGTGTATACGAGCATTTTACTGTGTGTTCGATCGATTTCAAATTGTGGAGACCATTTTCCCCCTTCAAAAAATATCTCTATATATGCATTTGTGAACTGTTATTTACGATATTTGTAATAATTTTTGTTTAATGACTTTATTTCAACTATTTTTTGCTAATTATGTATTCGCTCGAACTTGGTTAAAACCTTAACTGTATTCCGAATAACGACCGAAGTTGTAGGAGGAAATTCGCCTATTTTATCGATCTAGGTATCCCCCTTTTCCAAATTTTAATATCGACTCAAAATAATTTAAAAACACAAATTACAATAAAACGGTTTATTATCCAACTATCAGAAATTTCACAACTTGCCAAGGAAGAGAGGAAGGAGCAATTAAATAGTTAAAATTACAAAGGATTAAAACATATATAAAAATGGGGAATATCGCACTTCTGACAATCGCTGCGAGTGTGTGGGCTAGATTTGGAGAATCCGTGCTTCTCACATGTACAATTGTATGTGACCAGCTCACGCGTCAGAAAAACTTCTGATTTATTCGTGTACGCACCAGACGGAAAAACAAAAAATATAGTGTATCGACAAGCACTCCGATAAATAAATAGAATTGAAACGACACTTTGAAATGTTTTCCCGATGAAAATGAATAATAATAATAAGTTTCAATAAAAATGATAAAATGTAAATTGAATTTTATCATAACGAGTTTGCTTGAATTTCGTTTCTTCTGAGATCGCAGCAATGCGCGACGGATAAGCTAGTAAGAAATAAATTTTTTGCCTCAAAGCTTAATTGTTCAGACGAAATCGATAGAAGTTCCTTTTCGTGCCGGTTCAACATGTCCATTAAATTGATTTGAAAAAGTTTAGACCGGAATCGAAAAAAACCGAAGTCGTTAAATTTCATGAAAAACGTTGTTAATGGACATTAACTCACTAGCATGAAAAGTATGATGGTCGGATCTTTGAAACTGGCTAATGTAAAGGTTTTCAAGCTATCTAATTCAAATCTTGAGTTTTACTTTGAAACACTTTGGTTTGGACATAGGGTTCATGAATTAAATTAGAAACTAGAGTAGAAATTACCTTTTCTATGCAATTTCGAATATTTTCTTTTCCATATTGAAAGAAGAAATGAATATATTAAACACAAAGACTTGTTTTTCATCTCCAAAAATGTACTAAGTTTTGAGATGAAAAACAATTTATGAAACGTTCAACCCAGAGAGAGTTTCTCTCCTTTAATGAAATCATTAAAAGATACACAACAGAATCTCGTTTATACGTTTCTCAGTTGTACGTTTTTCTCAATTACGCGTTAAATATACAGTATGGAACTTTGTTTATTATAAAATGCTTCAGTTATACGTTTTTATTTATAAGATTTGGCACATATAAGTCATATTTTTTCGGTGCCTTACCGCACTTTTTGTTCACTTACAAACTATTTTCTTTGAAATGGAATAATTTTAAGCGATTATTAAAGTTTTAAAAATACTGTACATGACTTCATTTCTCATTGTTTTATTTTTCCTTTTATACGTTGCTCAAGTTTCAGTATACAGTATTATACGTATAGTACCGTATTCTTAAGAGTTACACGAATAAATTCAGCTGTACAATGTTAATTTGTCTTGCACCGTTCTTTTGTTCTGGTTCACATAGTTACAAATTTCAAATTTAAATTTTGGAATTTAGTACTTTCATATCGTCGATAAATCTGTTTTGTTTATTGATTAAAATAATTGAAACATAAGATTTTATATATTTCTAACGTGTTAATATTTTGTTAATACCAGAACTTATTTCATTTCTTTAGTCGATCACCACGCTCCTCATCTACGACACGATCGAGATCGCAGGTTTTGGTTCGACGTGACCGACGTTAAAGCCGACGAAGAAATCATGGCTGCAGAATTTAGATTATACAGAGATTTAACATCTTCCGAATTACCATTAAATAGTACTTACACGTTAACGTTATATCTGCTGACAGACGAGCCAGAGTAAGTGCATGTTTGGACTGCCCGAAAGAAAAATATGATTCATTTCAGTTAAAAGTTTCTGAGAGTTTGCAGGGAGGTTTGTACATTAGGGGGATTAATGCTGTTAAATTTTGGTGATTAAAGGTCGAGGGGGTGAGGAGATAATTAGGGTCGTGTGTATCTTCAGTAGGATCGGACTTAATGACGATTTTACTGGTTATTAGCATTTACAATTTTTTTTAATAAAACTCATCCCAACTCTCAAAATTTAAGCTTTTTGCCATTTTATAATAGTTAAAAGTATAAAAGTATTTTAAAATTAAATATCATAACAGACGGTTCATCAAATATTGCCGGGAAAGTTAAGCAACTCGTTGCTGGATTTTTCTTTTTCAGAAATAAAGGCTTAAAATATATCGAAACAATTACAGTGCAGGCGAATCAGGAAGGATGGATGAGTTTTAATGTGACCGAAGCTATCGTCACGTGGATCGCATTTCCGGCCAAAAATCTAGGACTTTATTTGCAGATACGGATGGAAGGATTGTGTAGGTACCACACTCGTGTTTCTTTCTAATCTGCTTGTACTATGTATTTAGTTAATGGACGATTTTTATAACAGCTAGAAACGTCGATCCGGGAGAAATTGGAATCGTCGGCAGAAAAGGAGCCAACGAAAGGCAACCGTTTATGGTGGCATTTCTTCAGTCGCCCAGAGATTTGCACGTTCGTCACACGAGGTCTACTTCGAAGAAGAAAGCTAATTTCGACCGAACTTCTTACGATTACGATAAAAACTGGTTAACCATAAAGAACAGACGAGGTTGGCACTAAGTTATCACTTTATATAAATGCTGCTTATTAGTAAATTTGATTGCCGATTGACTAGGAGAACTTCGTCCCTGACGTAGCGACGGCTTGCGAATGCACGTTAGATAATTAGAGGGCGACTTATCACTGAATTAATGCGATTTCTTATTACCTTTGTTCTAAAACTAACTTAATTTAGACTACATAATGAACGTTATTTAAGGTATAATGTTTTAACGTATTGATGTTCAAGCGTTCTAAGAAATGCAAAAAGATCGGTGTTAAAAAATATTTTGGCAAAAGCTTCGCCATATTTCGAATGTCGGGTAGCGCTTGCTTTTTTATTTACGATTCTACAATGCAAAATTTTCCCACTGAAGGTTTCAGTGATTTATCAATTTGAGTCGCTGTCAAGGAACGTTGCTCGCTTCTTGCCGAGCATCTATAATTTAACAAAGAAATATTAAGTGCAAATTATCTGCGATAAGCTTATTAATGTGTTCATTCACACGAGGTATATCAAAAATTTTTCTAATTTTTACAGATATTATCAAAAAAAGTTGTCAACGCTTAGCATTTTATGTTAGTTTCCAACAGCTGAAGTGGCAGGTGAGTTGTGTAATTTTCGTTATTTCGATACTGTAGGAGGATTTCGTAATTGTTGTTTTACCTTCAGGAATGGATTATAGCGCCAGACGGATACGCCGCCTTTTATTGCTACGGAGAATGCTCCTTTCCTCTCAATGCTCACATGAATGCTACCAATCACGCCATAGTGCAGACTCTAGTGCATTTGATGGATCCCAACGACGTTCCTAAGCCTTCTTGTGCTCCGACTCACTTATCGGCCGTCCAAGTCTTGTATTTTGACGATAATTCCAACGTTGTCCTCAAAAAATATCGAAATATGGTGGTGCAATCTTGTGGATGTCACTGAATATCAAATATTTAATGAATTTTTTGCCAATTTCAGAACATGCATTTGATATTTTTAATATTGTGAACGACGTTTTTGATACTTTTTAGCATCGTAAATTATAAACGTATTGAAATAATAAATATTCTTTCAACTTAAACTTTGTATATTTAGTATATACGATGTATATAATATATACAGAAATATATATTTATTTAAAACTAAATAGTTGTATTATTTTTTATGGCATTTTTCATGCTTATTCTTTGAGACTCCGGCCATCCAACTCTTTCACTGATTTGATCTCCTCGATACTTCGCGATAAACGTAACAATTGTAACCTAAAATAATCAAATTTAACAAGCAATTACTTATTGTGACATCTTCATAATGCCGGGCTGTAGTTTTTAATTTATTTAATTTAAAATATATGCTCTTCATCTCAAATTAGTAATTGCTTAACTCTGTACAGCATACTTTTCCTTTAAGAATAGAGTCTGTGCCGGGGGGAGGAAAACGTTTTGAATTGAAATAACACGACTTCCGATTTGTATCGTAAGTTCGTATACAGTTAATCGAGGCCTCCTGCCCCTAATCATTTCATATCTACTATTGAATTTCATTATCTAACACCGTCCTCGAGATTAAGGAAAGACAGATGGATGGACGAAACCCTATTCGTAAAAGTACGCTTTAATTAATTAATTAATAGAACTGTTCCAAGTATGAAACTGTTCCTTGGAAACGGTTCCTACCGTAACTACCCACCTCTACTGAGAAATTCGAAATAAGTTTATTCTTTAATATTTATTTTAAAACGATAGGCACATTTAAAACTCACTTTAGAACGTAAAAGCATGCTTAATTTACTAGAGATTAAAGTATTTAGTAACCCGTATGAAATTCAAACTGTCGACATTTTGACGCCAAATTTCGTAATTAGATTTCCGTTCGATAAATATGTGCAAGATAATCTTTCCTTTTCATTCACGAGGCTAATTTCAGCTTTAAATTCCTTTGTTATTGATATAAAACTATTTTGAATATTAATTACGACATAAAACTTAAGATAACATGTTCTGCCTCAAGGAAAAATCATCCTAAAGTTCCGAATTCGATCTGAATTCTAGGACAGGTCATAGGTAATTAATGATATTAGAGGCTAATAGGCTAGTCTATAAGAAGTTATGGGTCATAAGTTTGAAAATTATACCGTATTTGGCCCATGTTTGTAGAAATTTAACAATGTCCAACAAGAAAAAAAGTTAGCGTGTTCTTGTCTCTAGTTATTCAATTATAAAAGAAGTTTTAATACAGGTCAACTCGTGCTGCATAAAAAGTGAACTACAGTATAGACAATTTTGAATTTTTCTCTTCTATAGACTTTTTATGTGTATAATATCTTATAAATTTTGTTCCGGTTTAAAAAGTTTTCTTTGTTTTTAAAACTTCTGCGATTTTCTTTGAAGGAAGCCACACACAAACTAAATTATATCCTTCTTTTGGAAATGTATTTCTGGTACCTTTCTCCTTCTTCAGACCCTCTTCACACTAAAATTACAAATACAATTTCTTTACCCAAACTGTAAGTAATTATTTCTACTCACAATTACTTTTTTTACAGGTTATTTTTTTTTTGTGTGTGTTAAATTCAATATAATCTTTGTTTCGATATTTAATTTTTCTTCTTTATTTTTTCATATTACTAAAACTATTGAATATAACTTTAAATGTCTACAACTTAAAAAATCCAGCAATGAGTTGCTTAAGTTTCCCAGTAAAATTTAAAATTGCGTGTATGTGGCGCCATCTGTTATAACATTTTATTATTAAAAAATTTTTGAATTTTTTAAAATTATTATAAAATGGCAAAAAGCTTCATTTTAAGGGAAGGGATGAGTTTTATTAAAAGGAATTGTTAATGCTAATCCCCACATCCTCGACTTTTAATCGCCAAAATTTAATTGCTAATAATGTTGTTATTTTTTAAAATAAAATCTCACTTTTTAAACTGTTAATACACGGAACTCCCGATTATTCGTGCTAATTTGAATAACTAGAGACAAGAACACGCTAATTAGCAACATTATTAGCAATTAAATTTTGGCGATTAAAAGTCGAGGATGTGGGGATTAGCAGTAACAAGAAAATACAGATAATCCAAAATAGCCCTTCTAAACTATAAAAAAAAATCTATTCGGCGGTTTTAAATGAACTACATTATAGAGTGAATCATTTTAATCAATCCAATCGAACTCATTAAACAATAAATGTTAGTATACAGTAGTTGCTTCCTAAGAAGATAGAGCTTCAGCCGGAAGCCTCAGAACATCAGAAGGATTCAGATGTTTCTTCTGATTTTTCGGGTGTGATTTGTTCCTCTCCAAACGACCAACTCCCACAATTGGCACGGAAAAAGGGCCCAGTTACTGCACAGAACGAAAAGATTAAAAATGAAGTATATACTGTATGTATATGTATTAATAATACAAGAAAATGTCGATGGAATGGGTTTAAGTCTCCGTAGCACTCTCCTTAGATCCGCGACTGTATATAACGTAACATTTTAATTTTATGATTAACAAAATTGGCATCACAATTTTTCTTTTTTTAATTTATGCAATCAGAATTTTTCAATACAATATTTACCTATCAATTTATTTCATTTTTTAGTTGAAACTCGGAGTACATGATATATAGGCTAATTCTTTTCTTCATTTCTGTCTTAACTTACAAACTTTTTCCCATAAATCTTGACGAAAGTGAACATTGCTTACAAATCGTTCCTTATACATCATCTCACACTAAAAAGAATTCCGCAATATATTTTACAGTTCATTATTTCGGACAAAAGAAAGTCCGGAATCATTTCAATCATATAAAATTAAAATCAAATACAAAATGTATCGATAGTAGATTACGTGATTGTAGATTTTCATTAGAATACGTGGCTCAATCTCCAACTTGCAAAGAATAAATCTACCTCACAGGTTAATGAATTGCACGTAAAAACTCATTATCTGAACAATTAAGTTATAGGCTAATAAAAGTTTGCTTCAATAACAGATTAATAGAGTTATTTTAGTTTTGATTGTAATTAATATCGATTTTTTGCAATTTACTTTCATCTGTTTTCAATAAATTATATATTAATTCTACTAATAATTATATATATATGTATGTATAATGCCAATATTGTATTCATATTTAAGCCATTAAAAAAAGTATTTTGTTTTAAATAAATATTTATTTCTGTATAATATATACATAGTAAATACTAAATACTGTATACAAAAAATTAAGTTGAAAAAAATAATAAATTTTTATTTCAATATTTTCATAAGATGTTAAAAAATATCGAAAATATCATTCACGACATTAAAAATATCAAATGCATGTTCTGAAGTTGGCAAAAAATTCATTAAATATTTGATATTCAGTGACATCCACAAGATTGCACCACCATATTTCGATATTTTTTGAGGACAACGTTGGAATTATCGTCAAAATACAAGACTTGGACGGCCGATAAGTGAGTCGGAGCACAAGAAGGCTTAGGAACGTCGTTGGGATCCATCAAATGCACTAGAGTCTGCACTATGGCGTGATTGGTAGCATTCATGTGAGCATTGAGAGGAAAGGAGCATTCTCCGTAGCAATAAAAGGCGGCGTATCCGTCTGGCGCTATAATCCATTCCTGAAGGTAAAACAACAATTACGAAATCCTCCTACAGTATCGAAATAACGAAAATTACACAACTCACCTGCCACTTCAGCTGTTGGAAACTAACATAAAATGCTAAGCGTTGACAACTTTTTTTGATAATATCTGTAAAAATTAGAAAAATTTTTGATATACCTCGTGTGAATGAACACATTAATAAGCTTATCGCAGATAATTTGCACTTAATATTTCTTTGTTAAATTATAGATGCTCGGCAAGAAGCGAGCAACGTTCCTTGACAGCGACTCAAATTGATAAATCACTGAAACCTTCAGTGGGAAAATTTTGCATTGTAGAATCGTAAATAAAAAAGCAAGCGCTACCCGACATTCGAAATATGGCGAAGCTTTTGCCAAAATATTTTTTAACACCGATCTTTTTGCATTTCTTAGAACGCTTGAACATCAATACGTTAAAACATTATACCTTAAATAACGTTCATTATGTAGTCTAAATTAAGTTAGTTTTAGAACAAAGGTAATAAGAAATCGCATTAATTCAGTGATAAGTCGCCCTCTAATTATCTAACGTGCATTCGCAAGCCGTCGCTACGTCAGGGACGAAGTTCTCCTAGTCAATCGGCAATCAAATTTACTAATAAGCAGCATTTATATAAAGTGATAACTTAGTGCCAACCTCGTCTGTTCTTTATGGTTAACCAGTTTTTATCGTAATCGTAAGAAGTTCGGTCGAAATTAGCTTTCTTCTTCGAAGTAGACCTCGTGTGACGAACGTGCAAATCTCTGGGCGACTGAAGAAATGCCACCATAAACGGTTGCCTTTCGTTGGCTCCTTTTCTGCCGACGATTCCAATTTCTCCCGGATCGACATTTCTAGCTGTTATAAAAATCGTCCATTAACTAAATACATAGTACAAGCAGATTAGAAAGAAACACGAGTGTGGTACCTACACAATCCTTCCATCCGTATCTGCAAATAAAGTCCTAGATTTTTGGCCGGAAATGCGATCCACGTGACGATAGCTTCGGTCACATTAAAACTCATCCATCCTTCCTGATTCGCCTGCACTGTAATTGTTTCGATATATTTTAAGCCTTTATTTCTGAAAAAGAAAAATCCAGCAACGAGTTGCTTAACTTTCCCGGCAATATTTGATGAACCGTCTGTTATGATATTTAATTTTAAAATACTTTTATACTTTTAACTATTATAAAATGGAAAAAAGCTGTAATTTTGAGGGTTGGGATGAGTTTTATTAAAAAGTTGTAAATGCTAATAACCAGTAAAATCGTCATTAAGTCCGATCCTACTGGAGATACACACGACCCTAATTATCTCCTCACCCCCTCGACCTTTAACCACCAAAATTTAACAGCATTAATCCCCCTAATGTACAAACCTCCCTGCAAACTCTCAGAAACTTTTAACTGAAATGAATCATATTTTTCTTTCGGGCAGTCCAAACATGCACTTACTCTGGCTCGTCTGTCAGCAGATATAACGTTAACGTGTAAGTACTATTTAATGGTAATTCGGAAGATGTTAAATCTCTGTATAATCTAAATTCTGCAGCCATGATTTCTTCGTCGGCTTTAACGTCGGTCACGTCGAACCAAAACCTGCGATCTCGATCGTGTCGTAGATGAGGAGCGTGGTGATCGACTAAGGAAATAAATATTTTGTTAACATGTTAAGTCTTAATTAATTATTTTAATCAACAAGCAAAAAAGATTTATCAAACATATAAAAGTATTGATACATAATTCCGAAATTTAAATTTGAAATACAGTAAGTAATTGTAAACTGTCAGCTATTTTAATGAATCGATTGATAAAATCAGTGTATATTTTTCATCATTTATGATCTTAATACATTCTTTTAGAGAAATATATAATAAGAACGGTTGCAGTAAATAAAACACAAGAAAAATGGTATAAATGAAAAAATTTTTCAATATTTTAAAATAAAATCCAAAAAAACAAACTCCAAGAGGATTTTAATTAATATTATATTGAATTTATAAAATACTGTATTAATGTTTCATGGAATTTTTACGAGAGATAAGCAATTCTTTTCCTCTTATTGTTATAAACATTGCGCGTAACATGAAGTTTTAAGTGAGTTTTATTTATTTTTGAAATTATTACAGTCACAATTTATTACTGTCCATAACGCTAATTTATGGAATAAACATTCCAGCTTTACTGGATATGTAGTATAAAGCAAGTGTGAACAACAATATAAAAAGAACTTTCTTGGCTAAGACGTAAAATTAAACAAGTCAATTTATTTAATACCAGTCTGTATATAATCAGCTAACTTGAAGAAAGCTTAAAAAAACAAAGGTTTTAAATCCGTATTTCCAAGGGGTGCACGCCCGACAAGGGGCAATTCAAGAATGAGTTATTAACAGTGAATTTGAAAGCCCGATAATTGTTCTTATTATTTATATAATTATATCTTATTATTCATAAAAAATATAAACGAATAATTTTTTTTAATTTATCTCTTTCCACGCCACCTTCTCAGTGTCTTTTCTGTTTAGATAACATTTACTCCTTACTTTTCCATTGTTACTTGGAGCAAGTTAAGTGGTTTGAGACTCCATTCTACATCTACGTCTGGCGATTTTAGAATAAAGTAAAAAGTATTTAGTGCGCGACACAGTTATTATTATTGAAGATCATTTTGTGGCGTATTTGCGAACACGAAAATTCTCCATTCATTGCACAGATAACAAATAAATTTGTTTTTGATGTGATGAGCAAGTCCAGCACATTCCATGTAACTTCATTTCTTGCACTTTGTATTTTGATTTTAAATCCCTTTATTATACCGTATTATAGTATAATTACAGTATAATACTCTAAAAGAATTATACTATATTTACTTTTCATAAAAACAATGTTTAACTCCCTCTCGAAAATATATAGATCTGTCAGAGATACGTGTAAGGAAAGCTTGCACACCAAGTGACTTCATGCCGTCTACACTCTATTGCAGTGTTTTTCAACCTTTTTTTTATCTCATAGAATACTTGAAACTATAATTAAATTTCCGCGGCAAAAATTACTTCGGAATAAATCACGTGATTTAAAGTTGTATTTGTAAACATTCTATCGTCACATTACTCACCACTTAACCTAATTCTTTTTGGTTAAAGTGTGCCATGATAATTTTTGAAGGTTATGTCACAAAAAATTATCATGGCACACCGGTTGAAAAATCACTGCTCTATTGCATCCTCTTCCAATTATTATGGAAACCAAGTTAAGTCGACTTACTCATGCAAATCGTTTTGAGCTTATTTCCCCTACTGTAGGGTAATACCGTTCTCCCAAGAGAAAAATAAATAACACACTGAAATTTATAAAAACATATTTTACTAATAAAGTTTTGATAAGTATAAAGTGTCCTTTACAATTTTCTGAGTCACCTCAAAAACAACATACAAATGAAAGGAAAATACTTCGTCAAATAACGTTGACTATAGACTTAGATGACATTTGTACCTGGCCGCATCAATCAGACATTCACAATTCCATTCTGTTTCGAGATAGGCCTATCTAAGTGAGCGGGATGCTATGGAGAAAGTTGCCCAATTTTCTCCATAGCAAAAGCATTATTATTCAGCTTTTCGGAAGCCTATTCTGATAACAAATCTACTTAACGAGAAATATCTTTAGTAATTCCGAATAAATATTCTTTCTCCAGACTATTTTAAGAAAAGATAATAGTCCAGTCATCATGTTCCCCTCACATAATTATACTAATTATTCAAATGTAGCAACTGTAGGCTTCGGCAATTTCATCAAAGGAACGTATTGCAAAAATTCCGACGAAATTCGAAATTTTCCTATTTTTTTGATATAAGGAAAAGAAAGAAAGATATATTCGAATACGTTTCCATACAAATGACAATTTAATAAACTGCACGCTTCTCCCGTTTATTTACGATTAATTATCGGATCCTTAAGGTTTCAATTATTTTTATAGCTGCAACGTGCGATCTCGACCAGTAGTTTACACGCTTTAAATACAACTAAACCGAGAATACGACGACAAAGCATCGACACATTTCTTTTAACAAATATTAAATATTCAAAATATGCCGTAACATTAGCAAAACAAACAGAAATAAATATTCTGTCTCGGTAAAAAAGTAGTTTATTTCGGTTAGTAACGCCACTGTCGCCTGGCAACGAGCTGTTATTACCTTTTCTTTTATAAACGAATGTTTTTTCCCCGGNAGTCTATTATTGTAAGAATAAATTATCGAATTAAGATTTTTAAATATTAATTTAAGTGAAAGCAAATTGTTTTAGTTATTTGTCGAAACCGTGTCTTCTTTTTCTTGTTTCTTCTAATTCTATGTCACGACTTGGTGCATTTATCGACACTTGGCACAATACATACATTTTAATTCATACAGAAATTCATACATGAATTAAAATGTATGTATTGTGCCAAGTGTCGATAAATGCACCAAGTCGTGACATAGAATTAGAAGAAACATGAAAGCAAATTGTTCAACTTTAGCTTCGCGGGCTACTTTCAAAACCGGTCGACCGCGGTCTACGTGTTGGCCATCCCTGCAGTAGGATATGATATTTCGGCTGTTTTAAACCGTGCTGTTTCATTTCGTAGGACAAGATAGGTGGTACAAATCCGAGATTAAATTTCCACTATAAAGTCGGTTGGGAGTGCAACTACGCTATCAATTAGCCCACTACCGATTACCTATAATTCAATACTCTCGTGCACTTGTTTAACTAACACGTAACAGAAGCAAAAGCTCCAGGTGTAATATTTCTATCTATATAACAAGAAGCAACGTATTATATGGTTTTTATTACACAACATCGTAGTGTAGTCAAACTTATACTCATTAGGTAGAAAGAAATTTACTTATGGTTTTAACTTCCTGCTAATTTTCTTTTTATAAAAAAAAGTAGCACATTATTATAAATCTGAAATAACTCAGCCCAAATACCTGTATATATATCATCATCTCATCAATCATACCAACGAATCATTTAAATAATCACTAATATAAACAATATACAGACATAGGAAATTAGTTTATAAAAAGCATCAATTTCTAGGTATTCACTGTAACGAGAACCTATCTAACAAGTAACTTGTATTCTGATAAATATCTTTACTAATTCCGAATAAATATTCTTTCTCCAGACTATTTTAAGAAAAGATAATAGTCCAGTCATCATGTTTCCCTCACATAATTATACTAATTATTCAAATGTAGCAACTGTAGGCTTCAGCAATTTTATCAAAGGAACGTATTGCAAAAATTCCGACGAAATTCGAAATTTTCCTATTTTTTTGATATAAGGAAAAGAAAGAAAGATATATTCGAATACGTTTCCATACAAATGACAATTTAATAAACTGCACGCTTCTCCCGTTTATTTACGATTAATTATCGGATCCTTAAGGTTTCAATTATTTTTATAGCTGCAACGTGCGATCTCGACCAGTAGTTTACACGCTTTAAATACAACTAAACCGAGAATACGACGACAAAGCATCGACACATTTCTTTTAACAAATATTAAATATTCAAAATATGCCGTAACATTAGCAAAACAAACAGAAATAAATATTCTGTCTCGGTAAAAAAGTAGTTTATTTCGGTTAGTAACGCCACTGTCGCCTGGCAACGAGCTGTTATTACCTTTTCTTTTATAAACGAATGTTTTTTCCCCGGTTCGTTGCGCTAAATAGGCTAAATGTACACGACATCGCTCGTCTTTGGTGCAAGCAAAGGATTTCGCGGACGGCGTGGAGAAACGAACACCCCTGTGGAAAGCGTGTGTTCGATCCGCCAACCTCTTCCGAGAAGCTTTTTCGTCGCATTCCGGCCACAAGCGAAGAATTAAAATTGCGCTTAGCGTATAAATAAACGAAAGACCGCACTTACTTCTATTAACGAAACTCATGATGACGTCCGACATGTTAATGGCACGTATGCTGTCGCGTCCCAGAGTAGAATTGTTCGGGTCCATCTTGATGTCACCCGTTTCGAAATCGACAAACGTTCTGTACAGATCGAGTAGATACTGAGGCGCAGATCTTTGTATCGTGTGATCTTTGGGTTGGGGAGGATGATCCAGTCCTAGTAAATGTAACAGCTCCTGTTGCATTTCGTCTTCTTCTTTAACCCGCAACTGCCTAAAAACGACGGTCTGATCGATGCCGTTATCGATATATATTTGGCTAGCCACCACGCACAAGCACTGGACGATAACTGTCCACTTCACTAGTCGCGACGCCATCTTGTTTGGCACTGACTTGACCCGCATTCCGACCTCTGCCTCCGGGGCTTACTTTCGCCGCAACACTCGTAACATGGCGGCGTGGCTTTTGTAAACAAACTGGCATTATTCGCATGTTTTCTCCGTATTTAAATGGAGTCGCGTGTCGACTGTCTCCTCTCGTCCCGACGTCCGTCGAAATATTCGAATTTACGAAAGCGAAACTTTCGTTGGGCGTAGGCTAATCGTCGCTTTATTAATTTTTATAATAATAGAAATTATAAATATTATTTTTTCTGCAAAAATACTTTAGGTGTAAGCAAAATCGTTGAACGTAGATGATGACTAATGCAAATTACTCATAGAAAATTTAACGATTAACTGGAAAACTAATATACAGTATTTATAAGCGAAGCCGTTTTTGACGTACGAACATTGAATTCATTCCTAACGAACATATCGCAAAACTTTAGTTTTTTGGCTGAAGGAAAAAAAAATTTTAAGTGAAATGAAAAATATGGATAAAAATGATGGATATTTAGGGAACGAATGGACGGAATTTGATGATATTTGATATGCAGGTCGAAAAAAATAATAGAACACGACGATACTCGTTTCTCTAGAACGGCTGACCTGAGAGATAAAAGAAAAAATACGGATCTTATTTTTTCCTCTCTTCTTCTTTACTTTTTTGCTAGTTATAGCAGGTTCGATGAGCATCATCTCTTTTTCCGTGCTAGTCTATTCTATGCTCTTGTCGTTAGCTCCTTATAACTACCCTCTTTTAAGTTATCCGTCAGTTTAATTCTTCTCCCTCGTTTCTTTTTGCCTACAGCCATTCCTTCCATAACGCCATCCCATAAGCCTTCCTCTCGAATCATGTGTCCCATCCAATTTTTCGCCTCTTTATTGTCTCTAATATGTACCTTTTTCACCCCTTCTTAGGACTTCCTCATTTCTCACCTTATTGGTCCATATAACTTTCTGTTTTCTCCATAGCCAAATCTCTAGGTCCTCTATTCTCCCAATGTCTCATTCTTTCAAGGTCCAAGTTTCAGCACTATAGAGGAAAATTCTCTAGATGTAGCATTTGATCAGCCCTTTTCGGAATTCTAATTTCAAAGGTCCACACAAAATTGTTTTCATTTTGCTAAATGCCTTTCGCCATTCCAATTCTCCTCTTGATTTCTTTCTTTCCCACTTCTGCACTCAGAGTGAAGCCAAGCACCCAGATATCTAAATATCTAAATCAGTTCACTTGTTCCACTTTATATGGATATTGACCTTTATATGGATGTTGACCTTTCTTTTTCTCCGATTCATAGCACTTTGGTTTTGTTAACATTAATTTTCATTTTGAAGGCCTCACATCCCTTCTTTAGTCTTTTCAGGATCTTGTCATTTTACCCTCGATCTCCACCAGACTTGCCATATCATCAGCATATCTTAGGCACTGAATCTACCGTCCCCCAATTTTAATGCCTTCCTCTTCCTCTAGATATTCCATAATGATACAAGTATATGTTGAAAAGAATTGGTGATAGGCAACACCCCTACTTAACACCCTATTCAATCTTGATTTTCTCACTGTATTGACCATCTACTTCTCTCTGATATTTGTACAAATTTAGTGTTAATCTCCTGTCCTTCCAATCTACTCCTTTCTTTCTCAAAATATCCATCAATCTTTCCTAGTCAAATTTGTCAAATGCCTTCTCAAGATTTATAAAACACCCCAACATTCCCTTTCCTTTTTTAATGTATCGTTCGTTCATCTGTGGTTCTCAGCACGCTACCCTATCTGAACCCAAACTGTTCTTCCCTTATGAATGGGTTCACTTTTCCATACAGGCGTTTCTCTAATATTCTTAAAAGGATTTTTGAGGTATGGAAGATCAGAGTAATTGTTCTATAATCTTCACATTTAGTTGTTTTATCTTTGTTTGGAATGGGAATTAAAATATTCCTCAGAAAGTCGTCGGGCCACATGGATGGGATGGGGTGTATCATAGATCACGTTGCAAAGTCTATCAATTTTCTTTTCACTCATATTCTTAATAAATTCTATAGGGATGTTATCCCTATAGAAATTCAGTTTATTCCAATTTCAGTTTATTTCTTCAGGCCTCGGGTATTGATTTGTCTTTAATTTCTCGTGTAGTTCGGATTGCATATTTCCCTGTCTCTACACTTCCCGTGCCCTGTCGTTCTGCGAGCTTCTGGCTGCAGCGGCTTAACGGCCATCCGGGACTGTTCTTTCAGGCAATTCATTGTCCATGTGCTCCTCCTGGTTTTCCGGGACTTTGCACTCCTTCCTCGCTTTCGACAGGCGACCTCAAGCAAATTGGTCGCAAAACGGGACTCTCGCGATCGTCCTCTGATTAACAGGACCGTTGCGCCGATTTTTCTTTCGGCATTCTGTTCCACCTGTTCCTCTTTTGCCGTGAAGCGTTGGTCCTTCTTTCTTTGTCTCACTCTAGTCGCTTTGGAATCGGAAATCGATCGGAATTTGCGAGCTTTCGGAGTCTTTATCTCAATCATCGAGCCAACATCTAAACCGGTCAGTCTTCAGCAATTTCTGTCATCGGTTTGATCATTTGATAGCGGGTAGTTCTTGAGAGTGAAAGAGTTCACTCAACGGGATGAAGCAAGAAAATGAAAGCGTAGTGGGCGACCTAACAATGGCCGCGTACAAAGTACAGTATTAAGCAATTGAAATTTGTGTCTGAACCGTAATATAAATGTTAATAAGAAGCCCGAATAGTGCTGCCATCTTTTGTCAGCTTTCTAAGTATCAAATTTTATTATTATTATTATAATGAATACACTTTTTACTCCTTCTAAAATTAGAAATATGTTTGTCAAAGGAGAAATTTTCGATCGAAAAATTTTTACGGGTAGGATTATTTACTATAAATTAATTAAATATTATATGTATTTAATATCTATAATAATTTGGATCAAAGCTTAAAACTATTGTCAGGCATCTAAACTTCAAATTGAAAAGTTATATGGAATAATAACAGAAAGAAAACGTGATAATAATTAAAAATAATCAATATTATAATTTCTTAGGCATTTAACTTTGTTATTACAATTTTGAAATTTATAAAGCAAATTAAATGATGGTTGTATCAATGCCAAGATGCAGAAAGGTTCCATAGCTTTGACATGAAAATTCAACTTAAATGAACGTTTATTCTGTCGTTAAAGCATACAAATCTGGCCGTAAACAGGGCAATTCTTGTTAAAATGCTGTTGGAAAACATTTTCTTCCACTATATTAAAGATAGTTAAGAACATTATCATATTCTGTGATGAAGAAACACTTGGCAGAATTGTTTCGTGTCCAATATATGAAGATTTATCACAAATACAATTTTTTGATGCTTAGTTATTTGGGCAAAACTCAAAATTTCATTTCTGAATAACTAAAGACATGAATAAAAAGTGTCAGGCGAATGGATTCGAAAGATTATGAAATCGTTTCTTCCTAACATTAGATTTTTGGCAATTAAACCAGCGCGTATTCCCGTTATGCTTCTTAAGAGACGACGAAGATAAAATTCATCGAATCTTATTTCACCGACAACACCCAAGCAAGTTTTGCCAGAATAAAAATCAAAGGAAGAAAAATACTTATAGCTCATTATTCGTCTGCCGACATCGAAAAATCCCATATATTCAATATGAAAAGATGCTGAAAAGACTTTCCTGTAATACAGGTTTATATAGTTCGGATTCCTATATCACGGCAAAAAAATTGCGACAGTATTCGTACAAACATGCTAAAAAAACTCGTATAATTCAGTAAAACGTCATCGCCGACTCGTGTCGCGACAGGATTGGTCGAATCTAGACCAATAGTGGATATTGTACAAACCGTTCAGTTTAAACGAGCAGCAGACCTACTAAGAACCATTTATTATTTAACGTCCATAAAAATTATATTTATATTAATGATGTCTCCAAAGTTTAGCGAATTTTTCGCAAAAAAAAATAAGTTATCAGGAAGCACGCGAGCGCCATTCGATGATAACAAGCTTGACAAAGAGCTCCACGACGAAAACAAGTTTAAGCAATGGCGTGGTCGAACGGTGCACACTCGGTAAGTAATCCTACAATTTTTTGTTTATAGCATACTTTATATGGATTATTCCCAAAAAATTATACGTATTTTGGAAATGTTGAGTCGATTTAGTCTAGAATTGATTAATTTTATGGAAGAAAACCGTTCAATTAGCCGTAGTCCGTAAACTGCATACGTGCTGGGCTGTGATTGGTTCACGTATTCAAGGACTCGTAATACATCAATTTCCTAAAGAACGGAACGTATCTACCGTGTTATAGGGGGGTCGACTGCAGTGGCTTAGCGTGGGTATCAGCCGCCAGGGGCGGAGGAAAATTTCGCCCCCTCTTATTTAGGTATCTCAATTTAAAAGACTAAAATTCAGTTTCGTCACAGAATAAGTAATGGAAAATTCCGTGCTAGTGTTGCCACCTTATTAAAATCGCCGACCCGGACGGCAAGTGAAGTTTGTTCGAATAGAAGTTCCTGACTCATGTGTATGTCATTTTGCAATGGGAATAATAATGTGCAGTGCATGCTGGTTCTAAATCAGTTACAGTTAGCGACTAGGGAGACTTGGATAGGAGTAACGCAAGTGACCTAGCTGTATTGGATATTGGAGGTGTATATACACATACGAATAAATCGTACAAGCAAAAAAGAAAAAATAAAAAAAAAATAAAAATAAGAAAAGGTCAACAGGTCGCGCACGATATCCCCGGATGGCGAGTCGATTCCCAGACTATCCGGATGGATGGTAACACTATTCCGTGCTCATTTCAATCGGTCCGAGTTCGTAGGTGGGCGAAAATATGAAATAAAATGGTTCAAATTCTTACAAGATATTATTATTATTTATTGTGAAATTTTGCCGCCCCCTAAAAAGTGCCGCCCGGGGCGGCAAAATTACGGTAGCGTAGTGGGGGCCCTGCCGCTCCCACTACGCTACGCTACTGGTCGACTGTAATTGTCTTCGTGCATGGATAACGACGTATATGTTTGCGATAAGTGGAAAAGGGAGTAAAACATTTCGGAAGGTCAAGTGCTGTCCGCAGCATTGACCTTCCGAAATGTGAGTCGGTAAGAAATCTCACTTTCGAACCGGAAGTAGTGGGTAGAAGTC